CTCTCTCTCTCTCTCTCTCTCTCTCTCTCTCTCTCTCTCTCTCTCTCTCTCTCTCTCTCTCTCTCTCTCTCTCTCTCTCTCTCTCTCTCTCTCTCTCTCTCTCTCTCTCTCTCTCTCTCTCTCTCTCTCTCTCTCTCTCTCTCTCTCTCTCTCTCTCTCTCTCTCTTAGCTCACTCTCTGTGGTATGTCTCTCTTTCTTGCTTTGGAAGACCTACGTGCTAGTGTTTTTGAATGTTGCCAGTTAATGTCGAATGCATACTGTCGAATGCATTTTCGTTGTGTAGAATCGTAACAGCCTGAAGAGATTGGGTTACAGTAAATATTAACCCCATATTAACGCCATACGAGTTAAATGAATAAATTCGTACTTTGCGAATTTGTGGACGTGCTTCTAGCATATGCTGAAGCGAAACTACAGCGGTGCAAGGTCAGCGAAGGTGAACCCGTTTGGAACAGCAAATAATCTCGGTGTCATACCGTTTTCGCCACGTATTTATGTGGCTATAGGGGCCAACGCAGTGTTGAGCGTGTCTTTCATCATGAGATTGTGATGTGTAGAAAGTGAAGCACTAAGTGATGTATAAGTAGAAAGTTTACATGTATAAGTAGAAAGTGAAGCACGTATAGTAGGTAATTTACGTTTGTCCGTAGTGTGCCCAGTGCTGACTTGCATGTAATGCAGTCTTGGAAATAAGTCTGAACCCTCCCCAGCTTAATTTCTATAATTAACTATACAACCAGGCAACCAGGAGTGAATTATTAATCCTGATATAACCCATAAATAATAAAATACACAAAAAGTGAACCAGTCAATCTCAACAGATGGCGCGGCTCCGAACTTGGGGGACTGGCTGTTATTTCCAGCCACTGATCCACTGATCTCTATTATACTAACTAGAATAATAGTTATTATAATAGTTAATAATTCAATTAGTTATAATAGTTATAATAGTTATAATTAGAATAATAGTTAATATAATAGAGATCAGTGATTCCAGCACTATGTAATGACGTTGGCTTTTCGAAAATTGTTGTTCCCGCGTGTTATTTAGTGACGTGGTGTAGACGCGGCGTAGGCGTGTGCGACGTGTTTGTGCTGCAATGTTGAATCGTCATCTCAAACGTGACTCTGGAAATGTGTGAGCGACTGACTGCCGGTTGTTTGTGAAGGGTGGTACACACACGCAGACGGACGAGACGGCCTCGATGCAAACATCGCATTCCACGATTCATTGTATTTAATCTGTGCGTATTCGTGGCATCGGGAGCGAATAAGAAACGAATATTTGTTTGTTTGTTTGTTTTTATTCATTACCGGTGGCATAGATACCTAGTTTTTTAAATTGTCAGCGCGAATGACAAACAATCCGTATAGTTCAGTAGAGGGGCAGTGATAATATCTTTAAATAAATAGAGATCAATATCATATTATAATAATGTGGTTTTTTATTAGCAACTGTCCGCATGTAACGCGTGGAAATGTACTATGATAAACAGTTCAAGCTATAGCTACGTTATCACTGCAAGCGAGTGCATATAATTATTAGTGCAAGTGGATTTGCAAGTGCGATGAACCCATAGCGTGGAAGTTCAACCGAAATCGAGTTTCGAAGTTAGCGGATTTTTATTCACTTTTTCTTCGTTTTTTGTTGGCCGTTAGTCCGGTCGGGTCATACTGTCGGGTTCGATTTTACGACAATAAGTGCCGTAATCGTCGGGATAGTTAAAAGTGTCTTCGAAACGCGAGAGGTAGCTGGTCGGTTGGCGTTATTTTGCACGTAGCTGGGATTGTGATCATAGAAATATTATAGGTAGACTGTATAGGTGTCTCTATATATTTCTATGGTTGTGACCTAGCTGAAGGTGGGGCTGTGGCATTACTGTTAGTGCTATATAGTCGATGGGCATCGTCATTGGTTTGATATTGATGCGTCATATAAAACAAAAAAAGGATTTTGCGAAAATATTTTTAGTGCCTACCAATACAAATGAAAGGAAGGTGATTCTAACTATATATTATATATAGCTTCTATATATATATATATATATCCATATGTATGCGCATGTGTGTGTGCGTGTGTGTGCGTGCTCGCCGGCGTATGCGTGTGTGCGTGCGTGTATGTGCGTGCTTGCGTATGTATTGGTACCTGAATATGCGTCATGTAGGAGTGAATAAAAATCATTTGTTTTTTTAATCAATCCCGATACATGTGAAATTTTGTGTGCTAGCGTAGGAGTCACGGAAGTATATATATATATGACTGTATATGTAAGTATATAGGTGACCATCAAGTACAGTCCTGAAATATAGGGGCGGTTATTCACTCAAAAAAATAAAGTGTCAGAATTGAATCGTAAAGTGTCAATTGTCTACACTATAAAGAGTTCAGTTAGGGACAGCACCTGTCAAAGCCCTGTCTACACTAGCAAACTTTAGTTTGCAAACTCGAGCAAACTCGAGCAAACTCG